ATCAAACTTCTTGATTAAAAAGGGGGTAGGTCAACTTTCTTACAAGTTGATCTTGCAAGTCCTATTGTTCGGATCTTGCAGTTGTTGAAGAAGCGTGACCTTCGAAGGAACAACAAAGCCAGCACGAGTGCAGTAGCAACATTGGTCTTGCGAAGATATACCGTGCAGAAATTCACACAAGTGTAATTGTTGGTTCATTATTCAACAACCAACTACATAGTGGATTTTGAGGACGTAGAAGGATTACCCCACCTTCGAACCTCGTTAAAGTTTGTGTGTCTCTCTCTTTTATCTTTACTCTAACTTGCAATTACATTAACTGTGAAAACTAACCCATCCATATTGATTACTGCTCACTCTACCCACCAAATTCCGCACACAATCTAAAGTTCTCAAGAACTCTAGATTAACACTTATTTTCACGTTTTTCAAAAGAAACGAAAAAGATTTTAAATTTGTAACAAAGTCTATTCACCCCCCCTCTAGACTTTGTATCTCACCACTTTGGGACCACCAGATCGTCAGAAGTCATACGCTGATCTCAAGCGTAAGGAGATAGAGTACAACGTGGATGATTGGGTGTTTCTCAAGGTATCCCCGTGGAAGAAAGTGTTGAGATTTGGCAAGAAAGGGAAGTTGAGTCCTAGGTTCATTGGACCGTACCGGATCATTGAACGCGTAGGACCAGTGGCTTATCGTTTGGAGTTACCCCCAGAACTACAGAAGATTCACGATGTGTTTCATGTGTCTATGCTGAGGAGATATCGATCTGACCCGTCACACATCCTACCTGGGGGAGCAGTCACCCTCGATGAGGGTCTTACCTATGAAGAAAACCCGTACAGGTCTTGGCACGCGAAGTAAAGGAACTGAGGAATAAGACAGTTCCCTTGGTCAAGGTGCTTTGGCGGAACCACGCAGTGGAAGAAGCAACCTGGGAGACCGAGGAATCCATGAGAACTCAGTATCCTCAACTCTTTAGTGACCAGTGACTCAGGTAATTTCGAGGACGAAATTCTTTTAAGGGGGAGAGAAATGTAACGCCCCGAAACCCGGCCTATCAGAATTAATTAATTGGAGATAATTAATTAATAATGAGACGGACCCGGTGGGAATTAAATATACCTTTCGTTTAATATTTAAAATTATACCGTTATGTAGGGTTCGACGGATCGAGTCTACCAGTGAAATCGGATTCGAATTTGGAGTTAGTAGGGCCGGAAAGTACATTTGGGCCAGGTACGTTTAGTTAAAACGGAGCCCAAAACCCCAAAAGTATAAATACACCCCTCACACGCCCTAAACCCCTACGCCTCACCACATTCACGTAACCTCCTCCCCACTCTCTCACGTCTCTCGTTTCTCTCGATCAAGGCAGCAGCGACGCACGAAGGAGAAGAAGAGAAGAAGGAGAAGAAGAGAAGAAGAGAGGAAAGAAGAAGAGTTCGACGCCGTCGTTCGTGAGTACCATATCGTAGTTTAATCATCGAATTCAAGGTGAGAACGTGGTCATCTAACGTATGGATTATATTCGTAGGTTTGAATCTTACGTTCATGGAATCATTACGATTGATTTATGTGGATTATATGTGAATTAGGTTTTGTGTTGTTGTTTACGGTTTGAAAGACATGGGTTGTGTTAGAATGATTGAGGATAGGTTATGGAATGCTAGGTTAGTGTATTATGAACTGTTATGCTTGTTTTCCATGGCGTGGTTGCTGCAAAAAGGGACGAAAACGGAACTGGTGCAGGTCTGGTGTTCGCCGCGACATACGGTAGGGAGGTACCATTGACACGGTATCTGGCTACCGCCAGCTTCCCCGGCTTCGTTCTTTTCTGGCGGTACCCACTTAGGGCAGGACCCAGGTGCCGTGTGACGGTAGACCCTACCGTCGGGGGGCTACCGTGGCGGGCTACCGGAGGAATCCCAGGACGGTACCCCCGTACCGCGGGGACGGTACCTTGGTGCCGTGGGGTCGGTAACCCCTACCGCCAGGGGGGTACCGTGAGGTACCTGAACCGGGCTGAATTTTGTTGGTTGCATCGAGGATTGATTCCGAGACCTTGTGTGTTGCATGACGGTAAACATGGGTGTCTACACCCAGTGTTAGGCCGCTATTTGATGATGTTGGATATCTTGTTAAATGTATTGTGGATCTATGAATGTTGTATTATGTATTGATTAATGAATGTTGGATATATTGCCTAGAAGAACTCTAGGAAATGACCTGAATGGATTAGTGGCAAGGTATGCCATAAGTACAGTTAGTTGGAGCCATGTGGTACCTGCTGGGTCCAATGGTTGTCCGGGTAAAAACGTGTACACGGGGATCTAAGAACTGTCGTTCCGAAGGGGACAGGGATCTCACCCACCCAACGAGGAACTCCCGAGTTGGTTGAGCTTGACCTTCGTTCCGAAGGGGAAGGTCATGACTCCATAGGCAAGTTGTAATCAGTTGAGCTTTTACCTAGTCTCGGTTAAGAGCCGAGTACCGAAAAGAGCATAGGGCAGAGGAAAATTGAGAAGTTATCATTGTATCCTTGTGACCTGTTATTCTTTAACGTTGATGTTTATTACAACTGTTATATTCTGTATGTTATGTGAATATGTTGAGCATGTTGTGTGCATGATATCGACGATTTTGAACTCTTATTTATTTCTTGAATTAACTTATTACTATTTCGGGCATGATTCCCAAGTTGTGTTTTGGATTATGAATTTAGCTTTCGCAACCGTTTGGATTTACTCTGATGGATAATTAAATACTATTTGAATTTAAATGTTTTAAATTGTTTTGGAAAATTAATGCGTATGACTACCAATTTAGTAGCAACCCATTCGCTAACCCATTTATTCGGGTTATGCGGGTTGGGGTGTTACATTTTGGTATCAGAGCATATGGTTTTCAAACCGATCTTCGGATCATAAATAAATGGTTTCCAAAAGCTGCACCACATCTCTTTCCAAAAGAGCATATGTGTTAATAACTGACTAGGTATTTATGTGTAGATTTAGAATGAGTAACGCATCGACGCACGCTCAAGACAACACCCAGCAAGTGGGTGATGATCACAACGATGCCGAGACGGAGGCATCCAGCTTCGTGCCTCCGCAGAATGCTGGGCAGCCCAATGTGCCACTGAACGCGGGGGAAAACCAGAATTTCGGGAATCCGCCTGAGAATGTCATGCCTGCCTTCATGACGCAGTTCCTACAACAGATGGCCAACGCGCCGATGTTCCAGCAGCCTCAGCCACCGCGGCGACACATCACCTTCAAAACGCTGAAGGACAACGGAGCGGAGGAGTTCCTTGGGGATAGAGTGGCTGAACCTCAAGTGGCTCTTGATTGGATTGAGCAGGTGGCTAGGGTGCTCAACGACCTGGATGTACCGGTTGCGGATCATCCAAAGTTGGCATCTCAGCTACTCCGCAAGGGAGCGTACGAGTGGTGGAAGCGCGTCGACAGCGAGCCACAGACGCCGAAGCCCTGGACATGGGCATATTTCGACTGGGCTTTCAAGAAGGAGTATATCCCAGCTCGCTTCCGAGAGGAGAAGCGGTCAGAGTTCATGGAGTTTGTATAGGGGGACATGACCCTCGCCGAGCTACGACAGAAGTTTGATCATTTGGCTCAGTTTGCACCCACGTTGGTGTCAACACCTACTGACAGAATTGAAGAGTTCAGGAAGAGATTGCGACCTTATGTTTCTACCGTGGTCACCACCGATTTCTCAGCGGCTTATGACCTGATGGCTAAGGCGGAGAAAGCAGTGGACGACCTGAAGGCAAGCGTGGGTGCTGGATGGACAGCTACTTGTCAACGACCCACTACCAGCGCGGCACCGAGTGTGAAGAGATCCTTTGGCGGTACTAAGGGTACCCAGAACTTCAAGAAGACCAAGTCTGCGCCGGCTCAATCACAGGCAGCGAGCAACCGAAGCAAACCTTCCAAGTACCCAGTGTGCAATCAGTGTGGGAAAAACCACCCTGGTGAATGCTGGTTCGCGCAGGGCTTATGCATGGGATGCGGAAAGGAGGGACACTTCCGCAAGGATTGCCCAACTAACCCCGGGCGTGCCTTCCCTGTAACCGAGACGCAGACACCGACAGCGAGTCAGAGGCCAGCGCAGAGCCAGAGGTCTACCGCGGGCTCAAACCCGCCGAGAGGACAGAACCAGAACCAGAACCGCAAGCAGGGACATGTGCCTGCACGCACCTACGCCATGCAGGGACGTACCGAAGTGAACCGCGACGTCATCTTGGGTATGTTTTCACTATTCGACACTCCTATGCTTGCAATAATTGACCCAGGATCTACGTTGTCTTACCTATGTGTCCCTATGCCTGAGAAATTTGATATCCATAGGGGTGATCTAGAATACCCTATGGTAGTATCTAATCCGTTAGGGCATAGCATGCGACTTCATCATCTGTACCGCAACTGTCCGTTGACTGCCCACGGACACCGGTTGTCCGCAAATCTGATCGAGTTACCGTACAAGGAATTCGATATTATCCTTGGTATGGATTGGTTGACTGAGCGTCAGGCGATAATTGACTGTGGTTTTCGCACCGTACGGCTGAAGACTGACGATGGTGATGTGGTAGAAGTCAAGGGAGAGTTGTTCCCTAAGCCTCCAGAATTTATGTCTTACATGCAAGCGAAGCGGTTGATTCGGAAGAAATGTGAGGCATTCTTGTGCCACGTTCGGGACACTAGGAAGGAGACCCCCGAACAGAAGGATATCCCTACAGTGTGTGACTTCCCCGATGTGTTTCCCGACGATCTCCCTGGCCTGCCACCGCCAAGGAAAGTGGAGTTTTCGATTGATCTGGTTCCTGGAACGGAGCCAATCTCTGCTACGCCATACTGCATGGCACCGGCGGAGATGAAGGAGCTGAAGGCTTAGTTGCAAGAACTGCTAGACAAGGGATTCATCAGGCCGAGCGTGTCCCCATGGGGAGCTCCAGTTCTCTTTGTCAAGAAGAAGGATGGGTCCATGTGGTTGTGTATTGACTACAGGCAGTTGAACAAGGCTACAGTCAAAAACCGCTACCCATTACCGCGGATTGACGATTTGTTTGATCAGCTCAGTGGAGCTACAGTGTTATCAAAGATAGACCTTCGGTCAGGGTATCATCAGATCCCCGTGAAGAAGGAAGACATACCAAAGACGGACTTCTGAATGCGCTATGGGCATTACGAGTTCACGGTGATGCCGTTCGGGCTGACGAATGCCCCGGCGATCTTCATGGACCTGATGAACAGCGTCTTCCGTCCTTACCTAGACCAGTTCGTAGTAGTGTTCATCGACGACATCTTGGTGTATTCTAGGACACCAAAAGAGCATGCGAAACACTTGCAGACAGTACTTGGTGTGCTAAGGCAACGGAGGTGGTTGGAGTTGATCAAGGATTACGACTGCTATATCGACTACCACCCGGGCAAGGCCAACATCGTGGCTGACGCCTTGAGTCGGAAGACTATGGCTGAGTTATGACTTCAGTCGACATTGGATAGTGAGATCCGTACAGCTCAGACTACGGATGACTTTTGTGTGAAGACTCGTGAGCTTGTCTCCAAGGGGGAGAGACAAGACTTCACCATTGATGCCAATGGAGGGCTGCTCTTTAAGGATCGCTTGGTGGTACCAAACGGTGAAGTGAGAGAACGGCTACTACAGGAAGCTCACAGAACCGTGTACACCATGCACCCTGGCAGCAACAAGATGTACCAAGACCTCAAGAGGACTTATTGGTGGCCGACGATGAAGCAAGAGATTTCGGAGTTTACGGCTAAGTGCCTGACCTGTCAGCAGGTCAAGGCGGAGCATCAGGTGCCAAGTGGGCTGCTACACCCGCCAGCTATTCCGGAGTGGAAGTGGGAGAAGATCACTATGGACTTTGTAATAGGGTTACCCCTGTCAAATAAGAAGAATGATGCAGTATGGGTCATAGTAGATCAGCTGACTAAATCAGCTCACTTCCTCCCGATTAGACGAGATTTTACCTTGCAGAAGCTAGCTGAGCTATATGTTCGTGAGATTGTGAGACTTCACGGAGTGCCAATGTCTATCATCTCGGATCGAGACCCGCGTTTCACATCACAGTTTTGGAAGAGTCTTCAGAAGGCCTTGGGCACTAAGCTCAACTTCAGCACAGCATTCCATCCTCAGACAGATGGCCAGTCGGAGAGAACGATTCAGATTTTGGAAGACATGATGAGAGCCTGTGTCATCGATTTCGGTGACGGTTGGGAACAGTACGTGCCGTTGATGGAGTTTGCCTACAACAATAGTTATCAGGCTAGTATACAGATGGCCCCGTACGAGGCACTGTACGGTCGGCGCTGTAGGACTCCAGTCTGTTGGACCGAATTGAGTGAAACCAAGCTGGAGAGACCTGACCTGATTCCTGAGGCAGAAGAGAAGGTCCGCATTATACGGAATAGATTACGAGCCGCCTCGGATCGTCAGAAGTCATACGCTGATCTCAAGCGTAAGGAGATAGAGTATAACGTGGATGATTGGGTGTTTCTCAAGGTATCTCCGTGGAAGAAAGTGTTGAGATTTGGCAAGAAAGGGAAGCTGAGTCCTAGGTTCATTGGACCGTACCGGATCATTGAACGCGTAGGACCAGTGGCTTATCGTTTGGAGTTACCCCCAGAACTACAGAAGATTCACGATGTGTTTCATGTGTCTATGCTGAGGAGATATCGATCTGACCCGTCACACATCCTACCTGGGGGAGCAGTCACCCTCGATGAGGGTCTTACCTATGAAGAAGAACCCGTACAGGTCTTGGCACGCGAAGTAAAGGAACTGAGGAACAAGACAGTTCCCTTGGTCAAGGTGCTTTGGCGGAACCACGCAGTGGAAGAAGCAACCTGGGAGACCGAGGAATCCATGAGAACTCAGTATCCTCAACTCTTTAGTGACTAGTGACTCAGGTAATTTCGAGGACGAAATTCTTTTAAGGGGGAGAGAAATGTAACGCCCCGAAACCCGGCCTATCAGAATTAATTAATTGGAGATAATTAATTAATAACTGAGACGGACCCGGTGGGAATTAAATATACCTTTCGTTTAATATTTAAAATTATACCGTTATGTAGGGTTTGACGGATCGAGTCTACCGGTGAAATCGGATTCGAATTTGGAGTTAGTAGGGCCGGAAAGTACATTTGGGCCAGGTACGTTTAGTTAAAACGGAGCCCAAAACCCCAAAAGTATAAATACACCCCTCAAACGCCCTAAACCCATACGCCTCACAACATTCACGTAACCTCCTCCCCACTCTCTCACGTCTCTCGTTTCTCTCGATCAAGGCAGCAGCGACGCACGAAGGAGAAGAAGAGAAGAAGGAGAAGAAGAGAAGAAGAGAGGAAAGAAGAAGAGTTCGACGCCGTCGTTCGTGAGTACCATATCGTAGTTTAATCATCGAATTCAAGGTGAGAACATGGTCATCTAACGTATGGATTATATTCGTAGGTTTGAATCTTACGTTCATGGAATCATTACGATTGATTTATGTGGATTATATGTGAATTAGGTTTTGTGTTGTTGTTTACAGTTTGAAAGACATGGGTTGTGTTAGAATGATTGAGGATAGGTTATGGAATGCTAGGTTAGTGTATTATGTGTTAGAATAATAGACCAACGCTAGAGGGGGGGTGAATAGCGTTTGATCAAAAATCGCAGGAATAAAAAATGAATAAACGAGAAGTAAATAGAAGAGTAAGAGGCACACCGATTTTACCCCGGTTCACCACAACTTGTGGCTAATCCAGCCTCTCGAGAGACTCTCTCGAGCTACACTACTATCTCGTTAAGCTTAACGGTGCTTAACAAACCCGTACAACTTGAGAATTCGAGTCACACGAACCTCAACGAACCTTCGAAGGAAACAGCCCTTCCTTCGAGCAACAAGAGAAATACTTTCTCTTGTCAAGTGTCTAAGAACACTAAAAACACTCAAGAACAATACTCTCTTTAAGAGTGAATAATGAGTAAACTAAGAATGCTCAAGAACACAACACAAGCTTCACAAAAATGGCTCTCAAAAGCTATGAAAAATTGAAGGATGATTTGCAATGAAAGAGTAGAAGTTGTGAAGTAATGTGATATGTAAAACAGACCCAAACACCCCATTTTATAGTGGAAAAGTAGGCTCCAACGAACCAAAACATTTAAGGGGTGATTGGCACAATTTGTGGGATTTGATTAAAATTGGATCTGCTGAAAATCACCTAGACAGCGCTGTCCTAGGCCTGGACATCGCTGTTCTAGGCTTGGTTTTTTAAAAATTGGGAAGCAACGGTCATGCTAACAGCGATGTCCAAAAAACCCTACATCGCTGTTTTGGCTGTTGACTTCCAAACAAGGAAAGTTTTAGCCTTAAATTCCTTCCAACGGTCAGGTCCCTACATCGATGTCTATAGCTTGAACATCGCTGTTTAGGTCTGACTCTTGAAGATGGACGTTTGGCCTGACAGCGCTGTT